TCGGTGTTGTCAGGGTACTCTAAAGAGTTGCAAATCTTGCCACATGCGACTGCTAAACGCGACTGCTCAAATGCTTTTCGTTTCCGAGATGTGACGTTTTTCGATTTTTTCAAAATTTCTTAAAGAACTTATCTACAAAGAAATTCTATAAATTCTAATTCTACTAATTAGAAAATTTGAAACTACTAACTTGATGAAGATACAACCTTATTGTCAGCGTACACCCAAGCGTCTCAATTCTTGCCTCTTAATATGAATGCTCAAATCCTTTTAGTTTCCGAGATAAGACGTTTTTTTTTCAATTTTTTTTTCGGGAATCTTAGGTTTAAAAAAATTCACAACATTTTGGATTCCTAACCCTATAGTGCGGTGCTCTCAGGGACTCTCAGTGGTTGCAAATCTGGCTTCCAAATTTCTCCAGAGGCCCATTAAGTTTTCGAGGTGACGCTTTTAAAATGGGAATATAAAAAAATTTAAAAGTTCGAAACTACCAACCCTGTAATTGGGTGCAGTCAGAGTACACTAAAAGTTTGCAGATGTTGTTTCCAATATATGCGGTTTTTCATGAGTTGTCGAAAAATTTCGAAGCACCGAAGGTGCGTTAATTGCTAGTTAGGTCTGAAATAGGCCATTGTCCGTTGTCGTTAACTTGGTTAACGACAACGGACACCTTACTGAACAAGAGTGCCCCACCAACAACTGTCAGTGCACCTGCAGAAACTGGTAGCTCAAGTATACATCAATCTTTTCTTTTTTCTATCCTTATCTTAACGTGTCCGTTACAGACTAACTTAATCTACCAAAGGTCTCTTCAGGGGCTCACAGGTAGAATTTGTTAGTTGTGTCCTCTGGTTTAAACTTTCCAAAGCTCCCCTCAGGGGCCACCGGCTAAGTTTAAATCAATTTGTGTTTAAGTTCTTCACCCTAATTCTAACGAATTATCCAATTGCCCCAATCGAACTCAAACAAGTGAAATGACGCGTGATAACTGCGCTACGTGCAACAGGAAAGTTTAAAATGACAACAAATTCGTTTGTTGCATTTGTAATAAAACACTTCATTTAACAACAGAGTGTACTGAGTTTGAAAAGAATACTATAGAAGTTCTCATAAAACTTAACGACAATCTTATCCACATCTGCAATAGTTGCAAACCGAAAAAGAAGATTTTTTGTCAAACTTCGAATCAAGGTTGGAAATAAAAAAAGACGAAAATCTGAAAAAGTTTCAAAACGAAACAAATAATCAAATGAAAAAAACTTAAGGAACAAATGAAAACCCTAACCGATAAAATTGAAAAGTCAAATAACATCATTACAAATGTTCAATCGGAAGTCATAAACGTGAAAAAAGATACCAAAACATACAAACAATCCTTAGGAAAAGTGAATCTTCGAAAATCAGTTTCAATTCCCGAAAAAACTTCGCTAGGAGTAGATATAAGAGGTATACCAGAATCAAGCTCAAGCTCGGCTGATGATAGATTACATGCTGATTTAGCCGAAGTAGAAAAGCTTCTTGAACATCTTAACGTCGAAGATAAAAAACTTACCAAAGCGCAAAGACTCGGTAAATATGACGCAAGTAAACAACAACCAAGAACACTCCTGATAAATACTGAAAACCCAATCAGCCGAGACCTTATACTGAGGGCGGCACACAAGCTTAAAGATTACCGTCCCTATCAAAAACCCGTCTATATAAATCCTGAGCTAAATAGTACGGATACCAAAAAGCAAAACGAATGCCTGAAAAAACGTAGAGAGTTAATCGACAGTGATGAAAATCAAATAACCTCGAAAGATATTCGGGTAAAAAATCTCATAATTGAGATATTGGAAAACAAAAAATGGATACCATTAGTAAAAAGCACTTACGGCGATGAGACAAGTGACTCAGAAACCGAAAAATGACTAGCAACAATCTCAATTATGACTTTTAATACTCGAAGCTTAGTAGATATAAACAGTAGAAAAAAGTTTTCAAATACGCTAAATACACACGATTACGACTTTTTATGCTTAACAGAAACTTGGTTAACTTGTGATATCACATCAGCAGCCCTTTTCCTAAGTAGATATCAGATATATAGAAAAGACCGAATGACAAATCATGATCGTAAAACAAAACATGGTGGAGTACTAATTGCAATCAAAAACGACATTCTTCACGAACATATCTCATTACAAAATGAACATTCCGATTGTATAACCATCAAAATTAAAACTAAAAAAGACAGCGTAATTTTGCTTTGTTGCATATACAATGCTCCGTACCCAAGTGTCTACCAATGGGAAAGTAAGGATTTGAAAACTTTATTAGAAAATATTCAGCTTAAGGCAAAGGAGTGTCAATGTAATCTGATCATTCGAACAGGTGACTTAAATCTATCACAAACGAACTGTTTAACTATGTCATCAAATCTTGATTACGAAAAACAATTAATTGATGCACTTGTGGAAAGAAACTTCAATAATCAATCGACTAATCAATTAGACGTCGTCCTAGCCAATAATCCAGATTCCATTGTCAACTGCGAATATGATAAAAGTTTACAAAATGATCTTATGCAAAACGACAAAAGTTTTTCCGACCATAAACCAGTTGTTACAACCATCGACCTCGAAAAGGAGGAAACGCAATTTGCAGTAACTGATATAAAATACGCTTTTAACAAGGCTGACTGGGACGAACTTAATAAAAGTATCCTCTAGGAACCCTTTCAACCGTATTGCTATAGTAATGTAGATGAATTGTTAAAGCAATGGTAAAAATGGTTGTGGAAGAAAATACATAAACACATACCAAGAATTACCAAACATAGATCCCAGCTACCACCCTGGGTTTCCAATGTTACATCAAATCTTATGAATAAGCTGAAAACATTGAAAAAACGAAAAAGTGTAACTCTTAGCAAATTGATTAAACTCAAACGCCTTGAAAAGCAAATCAAACTTGAATCCGAGAAAGACCTCGCTGAACATGAAAAATCAGTATTTGAAGGAAGAAAGTTTAGTAAAATACAGAAATTTTTGAAATGTATACGAAAAACACCCTCAAATCGCCCAACAGTAAATTTTGATAAGACAGTAGCATCAATAAATGTTGAAAAGGCTGAAGTTTTCAATCAATACTTCGCGTCGGTCTTCAGTAAATCTAATATGCAGCCTTGATATGCACCAAATAACATACTAAACACAGCTAACTATACTGAAGAACAAATAAGCGACATATTGTTTGAACTTAATCCTGACAAATCAACCGGACCCGATAAATTTGGAAACACACTCTAAAAAAAGTGTCACAAAACCCTGTGTAAATCACTAAAACTGATCTTTGAAACATGTCTAAACAAGCAATGTTACCCCAGCTACTGGAAAATATGCCAAATAACACCAATATTCAAAGAGGGCAACAAAGCTGATGTAACCTGCTACCGTCCCATCAGCCTCCTATGTTGATGCTCAAAAGTCTTGGAAAAACTCCTTTTTGATAAAGTTTGTTTCTTTCATTCAAAATTCCACACTAGTCAATACGGCTTCAGAAAAAGACGATCGGCAACAAGAATCCCAACAGCAGTGCTGTGAATCCCCAACAACAACAACAACTGCAACTAAAATACTTTCTCGACAAAATATACGAATGCAATGATCTAGAATCTGTCAATGAGTTAAGTGTTCTTTATCTCGACTTTGCTAAAGCGTTTGACACAGTACCGCATAGTGTGCTAGTTAGCAAATTAAGGTCTCTTGGAATTGGTGGAAGCATCTTAGGACTTCTAAAATCATACTTAAGCCAACGCAAGCAATACGTGCAAATAAGCGGCGCAAAATCAACCCTAAGAAATGTAACCAGCGGTGTTCCCCAAGGATCAATTCTGGGTCCCCTCCTCTTTCTGCTTTTTATTAATGATCTTCCAGAGAGTATGTCCGAAATGGAGAGTTTCGGGTCTGCTGATTATCTCAAAGTAATCGTAACAAATCAAGTAGCGATGAACAAGGCGACCGATAACATCCAAGCCTGGCTTAATACAAATATGATGCTACCAAACACAAAAAATTCGCATACTCTTAACATCAAAGGAAACCTTGAAGCACACTTATGCAATGCCAAACTCACCCCCGTACAGTCGCAACGTGACCTAGGGCTCATGTGCAGCAAAATTTAAGTTGGAATGAAAATTGCAGACGCAGATCGAACAAAGCAATGGGCGCCTTATTCCAAATAAAGCAAAATCTAACATCAAATTGTAACTGGAGAATCAAATTAAATGCATACGCTCGATTCGTTGTCCCAATTGCTGTATATGCTTCTCAGACCTGGTTGCCAAATAAAGGAAATTTAACTGAATTCGAAAAAGTTCAACATCATGCTACAAAATGGATAATAGGTTCTGACTTAAGCTATCGAATTCGGTTCATTAAATTGCAGATTCTTCCGTTAAGCCTGTATGTTGAAATGCATGATCTCTTAATGCTTTTATCTATTCAAACAGGTAAATTTGATGTTGAAAGTTCAATTGAAAATGAGACAATATGCGATACTACTCGACAGAGCAATCGAGGTGAATTCAAGTTATCGAAACCGCGACTAAATAAAACCAACGAAAACTTCTTTCGAAGGACGAAACTACTCTACAACTATGTTCTTCGTGTTCGACAAATTTCTAAGTAAAGCTACTATTCAGAACATTTACTGGAACTTTTTCACTAAACAATACACCGAAGAAAACAAATGTACTTGGATAGTAATATGCAGATGTGGCAACTGCAATCCTCTCAGTAAAATAAAAATGAACTGAAGATGAACTGAAAAATGGGTGAAAACCCTTGAGACTCTCTAAATTCTGTATTATTATTATGATTATTATTATGATTATTGTTATTATTATTATTATTATTATTATTATTATTATTATTATTATTATTATTATTATTATTATAGGTCATTTGCTCTATTCTAAGTAATTTTGTCTGTTCCAACTTTTGAAAATTCTATAGCCTACAAAGTTTCAGTTTTGATGGAAATCGAAAAATCATCTGATGTTTTACCGGTGAACGAAGTAATCAGTCAATTGAAGTCCTGTATATCTAATGCTGTCAAAGACGTCGCTCAAACAGAGTTATGCAACCTTACGCCCAATGAACAATTAAAAAGCCTGCAGGAGATTGCTGAAAATTTGGAGGAAAGTCTGGTCATATTACCACGCAACATCAAAGTATTTTATCTGTTTTATTCACGTCTGAGTAATTTTTTTTCTCTAGGTTGTAATTTCATCTCCTGAGTATGGCGAATTTGCGGGATGTCTTGTTCCGGCTTTTCTTGAGTACATTCAAAATAGCAATGCCCAGTTCATTGCTGAGCTACCTGATCAGCAAATTAGAAAACAAATGCTGGAAATCATTTATCGACTACCGGTTAATGAAACCCTCAAAATACACTCGCGGACCATTTTACTTGTCATGTTTCAACTGCTTGAGGTAAGAACTACTGTTCATTGATTCCTTTCATGCTAATTGTTCCTTTGATTATAAACTGTCACCGTTGTTAGCCTTTTGTGAGTCTGGTTTCGATATTATGTTAGCTTTTAGTTTTTAAAACTGGCACTTTATTCTTGAAATGAACTTCTTAAAGACTGAAATCACAATTAATTTGGAAAATTTACACAGATCTAGTTTTTCGGTCATTTTTTCTTTTGAGATTTTTTTCTCAATTGTTGACGGCTTTTTTGTGCTGTATCGCAAGTGGAACGAAGATCTGCTTCGTATCTCAGTTTACACTGGAGATTTGGATCGTTTTCTAACTGGAACCTTTCCGGTTATCAAATCGCAACTTTCAGACAGTTTTTTTCCAGCAACTTATCCATAAACAGTCCAATCTGTGCATTTGGCGTCAGTCCAATACTGTCAGTCAATTTTAACTGTTTACTTTTACGGCTAGAGTTTTTTTCCCGTAAGTAACTTTGTTAACCGGACTCATCTCCTGGTCCTCTGTGTTGAAAATACTGCAACAGACATTTTTAGAGCTTATTAGCAGTTTAAATATCCTTTCTTTTTTACACTTGCGATAAGCTTTTGGTGTGTTATTACGAACCTTCTTTTTCTAACCTAACTCGCAAATAAAAGAGTTCATTAAAAGTGTTCACTTATTTGGAAATTTCAATGTAGCATTGGAAATTGCATAGCATCGGCTCTCTGCTTAATTTGTAGCGAGTGTTTGGAACCTATTAAGCTTCCGAGTGGTTAGTGTGTCAGTATTTTAATCTCTAGGTTGGAGGTGAATCTCAGAGGTTGCCGAATTGTTTTAATTATTCGAGGCTGATTTCTAACTTTGTTATTGCACTTTATAGAGCTGCTTTTTGTTGTCTTCTCGCAAGTGTTTGCGAAGCGAAGCTTCGCCTCTGTGTCAAAATTTGCTTTTTGTGTTCGTTGTAATTTTACCAATTTGATTTGTTCATTTTTTTGTGTGTACTTTTCGGCTTAATGGTTTTTGTACTATGTTATATCGGCTTAGTTGCCTCATATTCCGCCGTTTGATGAGCGAAACAAAGTTTTTGCTAGCGTGTTTTCGAGGGGAGTGTGAAAGTTTTCTAAATAATTTCAAATCTATCTATCTTCTATCTATTTATTATATGTCAATCTATTATATATTTAAATGCTGGCTTCACTATCTTGTGTTTAAGACTTTGCAACCTATTTTTTTTTCATTTTTTTTTTCACGTTTGAGCTATATCGTATATTGCTATGGTTGATTTTTTTTCGTTTTTCCATTTTGAACTCAGTGTTTATTTCACCAAGTTTAAAATAAACAAACTAATAGTGGGATGCTGTCTGGGTTTCCTCCGGTGTTGCGATGTTTCTCGAAATCCTTGATTGTATCGTTTGCTCGTAGTTATTTCGCTCTATCGTAATTATTGTATAGGGGATAATGCCAATCGCTGGTAAATCCATAGTGCACATATTTTCAAGTTGAAAACATTTCTCCAGCTTTTATGTCGATATTTATTTGTGTAGACAGACAATGAAGAGAACGTCCTGTTATGTCTCCGAATAGTGATCGAACACCACAAAAGCTACCGACCTCCGCACACAAATGAAATTAACACATTTTTGGAGTTCGTGCGAAAGATATACAGCGAGCTCTCACAAAATGTGAGTGCAATCTTCGCTGGCCCCCAGGTGGGGTCAGATGGAGAGATTAGCATTGAGTCTCCTGGGATGGTCAGCCAGATGACAATAACAACCACCAACTCGGACGGACAACAACTCACTGTGAGTAGTTCCGATGTCAATGTCTTTATTTGGGCTATTTAGTATTTTTGAAAAAGGGAGCGGTGGTGAAGTGAAGTGACTCACGATTTTTCGGTGGTTTGTGTCCCACTGATCCGTGCTCGTTTTTTGCGGGCGAGGAAGCGTTACCATGTTCAGAAAAATGACCAAAAAAATGTTATTAGTCATGCGCACAAGAGAGGATACCTCAAATAAAACCTCAGATGCAGCAAAAGATCAAACAAATTTAAGCTTTTTCAATCGTGGTTCAAGCTGCTAAAAATTGGACGAAATTTATCAGAGTATATTATTTCGTGTGCTAATTTACAATTCATGTTTTAAAGCTCAGTGCACGCCTGGCCCCAAAATTGAAAATCGTTTATATTTCTGTGCTCCTAATTGAATGCATCTACGCTCCAGCAGTCTGCTTGTTGTTTGTTATTGTTTTTCATTCCGATTACTTTTCAGTAATTTGCTTAACTGGCATTTTTAGGTTCATCGAGCAAACGCTTCCTATGTTTCAGCAAACAATCATTCCTAAGGCTCAGACATCTCTCAAGGTGTTGGCGGAGCTGCCACTGATCACAGTGTTATTTTACCAGCTGTACAAAAACCAGGTGCATAAAGTCATCGGCGATTTCTTCCATACTGTGACAAGTACACTCTCCCATCAGCCACCAAAACGCACGAGGTACAAAACGCACGTTTTGAATTCCATTCTTCATTTGTTCGTAAAGTTCGAAGTTCGGCTTGCTAACTTTTTGGCGCCATGGTGCTCTCATCTTATAATCGTTGTATTTTAAGTGGTGTGAAGCTCAGCTTATGAAAAATTGTCGATCTTGAAAGCTTCTTGAAATTCAAAGCTTTAACGCAATATGTTTTCGAAACGAAACTTTCAGTTTTTTCATTAATTCCATTGGCATTTTTTCGAATGTTTCCGGGCTATATATACAGTTGTCATTTTGCACTTGCCAAACTTTTGGAAATATTGGTTTTATTGGTGAAAATTTGAAAGGAAAAAATTCACATTTCCGTTTTTCACGAAGAATTTTTTGCCTGGATTCAGTTTGTCGAATTAATTTTTATGATTGATAGGTGTTTTAAAGAAATGCTGCTTCGAAACTTCCCTTGAAATAGTGTAAAAAATTTTGCTCAAGCGGAGCGCAGTGTCATTTCACCATATCCGCTTTTTTTTCAATCTAAGTCGCATATAAAGATGCTCATTATTTCGTGGCATCTCGACATTTTTAGATCTTGTTAACTTTTGCTTCATAGCATTATATTTTTGTATCTGGCTGATTCCTATTTGATAAAAAAAAGTCGGTGTTTGAAAAGGTATGGGATTTGGTTTAGGTATTTTTTGAGATGCATATGAAATTTTTTTTGCAAGTTTCATTTTTTCTCGAGCCGTACTCCGCGAAAGCTACCCTTGCCGATCTGAGATAAATGATTCAATCGAATGAACAAACTGAAAGCGTATCATATGCATGAGGGAATTTTCAAGTTTTGGTATTGAATCGGCTATGGACTTTATAAATGTTTGACCGATTCTGGACTGTTCAATTTCCTAAAAACGACCAGGCCGATTCTGAAAAGAAAAGTAAATCAAACGGAGATTTAATCTTCCTCCTTGCAAAACCGTGTTTTCCGTATTTTGCTGATAAGAATCATCTATGGACTTAGTAAATGTCAATTTTTTGACACACTTTGAAAAAAGAAACGCATTACCTTTCGCATCTACATTAAAAAATATATATATATCAAACAGGTACCCCAGCTTTAGCTGGGCTCGTGTTCAACTATTGTTAAGTGGCCATGGTGCAGATGCTAGGTCATATGATGAATTTTTAATCTACAGGTCGGGAGTTCGGTTGTACTATTTTTTTCCGCTTTTTGGGGCTTCTTTTCTCGCATGTGTTTGCGAAGTGCAACTTGGCTTCTGTAAAATATGAAAAATGACACATTTTTTTTGTCAGTTTTAAAAAAGCCTGAACACTGGCATACATTTTGGTTTGCAAGTGATGCGAATATCCGCTTTGCCTCTGTGTATGACCTAGTTATTCTAATAAACTGGATTTAAATACGCAGTCCTATCCGTGTTTTGGTTATTACTGCAGAGGTGGCCTTTTTTACCAATTCTTCTTGCGTTCAATTTTTTCATACCTAACTTGTAATCTCGTCGTCCAATTTCAACGGTTCAGCCAGGTTATGTAAAATTATCGATTAGATTTTGAAATGTTTCAGTGATTCTAAATCATCCTTTTCTGATGAATTGTACGTGGACTTCATGGCAGCTCAAGTGAAGACGTTCTCGTTCGTAGCATATGGACTGAAGGCATACCCTGAAATCATCCGACAACATGCACAGCCAATCGCTGAGGGAATCATGGGCCTGTTGAGGAACTGCCCTTCAGAAGTTACTCATTTGAGAAAAGAAATAATGGTCGCCACCAAACACATTTTCTCGTCCGAGTTGAGAAATAATTTTATACCGCATATAAACGAATTATTCGACGATTCAGTTCTAATCGGTACATCCTATACTGTTAAAGAGTCTCTAAGAGCTCTTTGTTATAACACATTGGCTGATCTAGTGAATAATATCAAGATTAGTCTGTCGTTTACACAATCGGCCACTGCGATTCACTACTTCAGTAAATGTCTGTTAGACGATGCACTACCTGTGTGGCTTCAAGCGACGTCGGCTAAATTGCTATTGAATCTTGGCTCGGATTTGATAAGCGCAAAGGCGTCAACCGGCAGTTCGAATACAGCGGATAAGGTGAATGTGATGCAAGCGAGACTGATCCAAGTGCGGCTTCTGCAAGTGTTCGTGAAGAAGTTCAAGGTGCTGGCTGAATATCACCTGCCAATCATCTTCAAAAAGTGGTCAGTTGTTAGGTTTATGTTTGTTTTTGTAGCATTGTAATGTGGCGCACAGATCTTCATGAAACAAGTTTTAAATTCGATGGTTTTTAGGATTTTCCCAGGCTCCATGACAAGTCCCCGGTACATTTTTCAAACTTAGTCATCTAAAGATCTTTCTGATGATTGATTACCTCTAGTAGTCGATGGTCAAACAGGTTTGAAAAAGAGAAGTTAAGAAAAGAGTTATAGATGCCTCGATTTGTTTGTAGAGTGGATTACTCTTAGAATGCAGAAGTTTAAAATGTGCATTATTGGTGTAGATTGAATTTTGAAAGAATGATTTCACGCCTCAGTATGAAAAATCCCGGGTCAGACACTAATTATAATTGATGGAAAATTGTTCAAATAATGTTATTTTTAGCGAGGAGCAATCAAAAAGCGAAGGTGATGAAAATGAGAAAAGTGAATTGAAAAACGCAGCCGCCGAGAGTGGCACTGATCTATTGAATGCAGACATAGGTGATGTGAAGATGGCGAGTCAGGAGTCTGACACAGGAGTGGTCGTGGGGGATTCCTCATCGTCCTCAGTTGGGAAAAGTATGGAGGTGGATGTTGTGGTGGATTCAAATGAAGAAACGGCGCAAGACAAAGAACAGCCGACGAGTGGCTCTAATGTAATTAACTGTTTTTGATGGCATCCCCAGACAAATTTTTATTGAGATCTTCAATTTTGTCTAATGATATTTGGTTATGTCCCCAAAAAATTTCTGTGAATTTCGCTTCGGAAACTTATAAAGAGTAATCACTTTTTGAGTTCAATTGAAATTCATCTGTTGAAAGTGACGTAATAAGCACTCCAAATACGAACGAGCAAATTGCGCGAAAATTCGTGAACGATTTCTTGTTTCGAAAGTGGAATTTAGTTGTTAGATTTCCAGCTGAATAAAAACTTTACCTGTTGATCCAGTTTTCTCAAGTTGGGTTAATGTTATCAAAAAAGCGCCTATTATAAATCGTTCTAGAAATTCAAAGCGCTTAAAGGGCATCTATTTTTTTTCTTTGAAATTCGAAAGTTGAGATTTTTTTTCAACAAAGTCAGTGTTTTTTAATGTTTACTTGCGTTCCATTACTCTTCCAATCTTCGATTGGCTATGTTTTCTCAACTTACAATAGTAAACTGTAATTTTTCTCGAGTATTTAAGGCTCGAATTTGAATTCAATTCCAAACTTAATTTTGTTTGTGGCAGATGGACGCCGAACAGCAGATGGGTTCGGATAGCTCCAAAACCAACCAGGATTCATCCGATACCAAGAAACAGAGCGACTCATCGCGAGTACCAGCCGAGGTCGTCATCCCCCCAATGTCTGCAAGTGAGTGCCGCAACTTAGTCCGTGTGCTGGTGATGGGTGCCAAATCGGTGGCTCAGAACCTATCACCGATCCAGCAGAATGGAAGTGGAAGTGAGACTACCCGAGTACCGCCCACTGCAAGACCCTCGGAGTCTGAAATTGTGCAAATGTTGAGAGATCTCTTATATTATGGTACGGAACAGGTTTTTGTTTTGTTGTTTTGTGATAGTGTAAACAATTGGTTTCTGACTTATGAAGTCACTTGTCTTTGTCTTTTGAATCTAATTAATAGTTTGCAAGCTATATTTTTTGAGTAAAAAGGTGTCCAACTTATCAGCTATTGGCAATGTGTACATTAATTACAGGAAAAACATAGATACTTGAAAAACGCAAATCCATAATCAAAGTTACCTCTACGTAATATAGAAATTAGAAACTCCTGACCGAAAATTGGACCGATCTGCTCTTTTGCGAACCTAGATTAATATCATTTTTTGCTTTTCATTTTACAATCCAATTTTTTCATCATCAAAATTTTGATCGAAATCACGAAAATTCTGTCGAAAATACGCAAACTCAAATAGGAAAAAATAGTCATATCGTAAAGTGAAATCAGAACTGGATTGTGTAAAGGCAAAAGAAGGCAGTTTTTGGACAGTTTTTAATAGTTGACCAAACCTAAAAATTTTTCAAAAGTCGTATTTTGAGCCAATTGGTAGCCAGTACCGAATAAATTCTATTTTATTATTATTTTTTTTGGTAATAGCTTTACAAAAAGTGCCCAAAAGATGTTAAATCACGTCTCAACAAAACGCTGACAAATCTTAAATCACGTCTCAACAAAACGCTGCCAAATCTTGTCGCTAAAATTGTTTATCCTTTGCTGGATTTAACTATTGCTGAGTTTCGTTGGGATAGTGAGGATTTCAATCAATGGCGATCTCTTAAGCGTAAGTATTATCAAAACGTAGAAATTGTTGAGTGGCTGTTAAGTGGTTAAAATAAAATCTCCACGTCGCAGCCAAATGTTTTTTTTTTGGTTGTCTATCAACCCTGATCCATGCTCGTTGACTGAAGTGAGACAACATTTTCCAGTCCAAAAGTTAGGCCAGTAATTGAACTTACGGTCCTAATTAGGAACCAAGTTATTTTTCGCAAACAAATGAAATCTTGATTTTGGTCTTCTACCTAGTGGAAAATGTGCTAAAACATCTGTGGACAATACAAGCTGAGCAAATTTTCAGTTGGTTCATCGATGAGGATGAGCGACGGAATTAATAGAGGAAATGATTCAGTTAAGTAAAGGACATGGAAATAAAAAGGCGACACAACACCTGCTGGCTAAGTAAGGTCCTTAAGCTAGCAATGGCAAAACTATCTGATTCTCCAAATTTCTATAGTGATATTACTTTTCTAAAGGGAAGAGAACGCAAACGTCAACCGGCACAAGCACGTTCTCAGCGAATTTTTGCAGAGTGTCAATAAACGAATTGAAGAGAATTATTTAGGTTATGTGTATTATTTTCTCAGGTTTTTTTGCACCAAAAAAGCGTCTTTGTTCCAAAAGTGCGTTTTAGTTTTTAAGTTTACCAGCGGAATAAATCAATTCTATTGATTAAGAGTAATGAACGTAGTTTGTACTCTTATGTAAATCTTGGTGATTTTTTTTTGTTTTTTTTTCTAGGAAGAAGCCTAAATATTTGTTCACGCCTTAGTTTCGTGGTTTGACTTTTGATTTCGTTTTAAGTTCACTTCACTTCCTTTGTTTACACTAGCGTCATCTTAGTGTATCATTAAGAACCTTCTTTTTTTCTAAACTAAGTCGCAAATATTGGTGCCACTTTTCGGGCACCATGACAGCTTTTTGATAGAACGTGCTTTGACTTTCGAATAGTAATAAGTTAACACAATTGATGCACTTGTAATTCATCAAATGAACCGAAAAAAGCTATTTGTTTCAAACAACATAGCAATAATAAAAACTCGATTTCAGTAATTTTCTAATTCAATTTATCCAGTTTTATGCGTTGCGATTTGTTACAAAGTTAGTGTGGTTGTCTTCAATTTTTATATTCCAATTTAATATATGGAATATAAAAATTGTGTGTATTTGTATTTGCAACTCGTACTGGATTTGTATTTGTAACTCGTACTGGAAACTTTGAAAATTTAAAGCCAACCTCACTGACCCTCGTCAATTAAATGCGGCTTTATTTACCATGTTCTTTCTGGTGGGGCAAGTGTGTTCCTGAGTTTTTTGGTCCAATTTTTTCTAAAAAATTTCTAATGTATCAATTATTTGTATTTGTATCAATTACCGGTTGATTTTCCGCTATTTTTCCTTAAAAAAAATTTTTTTTCTATGATTTTGCATAGCTCAAATTTTTTAAAACCATATAGCAGTACTATTTTTGGATCTTGTGTTTTGAGATTTTTTGCAGCGCTTTTTCAACCAATTAAAAATTTGTTTCGAGATTTTTATTTTTTTCGAAAGTTTTTAGAAAAATTTGATTTTCAAATCAAGTTCCGGTTTTTAAGTTTTCTAATTTTGAATTTTTGTTATACGCTATTTACGTTTTGCTCGATTTGCAGTGGTGTAATATTTTTTTCCTGCAATTTTTGAAAAGTTTCATCGCTTATCTTATGAACAATTAATGCAGTGCAGTCAAGTTAGTTGAAGCTGGAATAAAATTTTTGCTTGTAGATTAAAAAAAACTCGCGAAACAACTTTAATTCAACTTCTCATTTTTTTAACTTGCAGCTTCCTGCATCGCACGTGGCGCGAAGCTTGGCTTCACCCTGTGTTACGAATAAGTTGAGCAAGGGTATTTAAACCGAGTAGTAGACTATTTTCCGTCAACAACTTTTTTCATTCAAAGAATGTAGAAATTAAACATTAAACAAGAACGAAAAATTCATCTTCCTTCAATATTCAAAGTAAAATTCTCAATTTTATAATACACATGGTTGCCTAGTCGTAAAATATCTGGCTTTTTGACGCAGATCGAATCCCGCTGGTTTGTTTGGCTCTAAACGTTGTTATTTCTGGCTTTTTGCTATTCGTCCAAGGTCTCGACGGCCTAGCTTGGGTTTTTTTTCGAATATTCACCTTGATCTCATGTTCTAGTCTTATGTTATAGGTTTGACAATTTCATTCATAATCGTATTAACGAATTTTACAAGATATTTTTTCAAAAGTCAAAAAATGTTAAGGTAAAAACGTCAATCTTGATCAAAAAGTTTTGTCGGCTTAATTCCGGTCCGCTTTTTTGTAGACGGTAATTTAATAATTGTCTCATCTGTCGTCTCTCCCCTCATCGCCACACAGAAGCGGCTCATAAGCTTTTCCACTATCTGCGCTGCTAAGCATGATACCTAAGTTAACTAAGGCTTCCATAAAAAAAGCGCTAAAGCCCTTGGTATTTAACGGGTTCGCTGCTCTATAATAGTTCATGGCATACATTTTGTTTCGGCGCAAATTTTAATGTAAATGCATATATTTCTTCTGACTGATCAGAAGAATTGATTGCAGTGCTTTTAAGAATTAATCGGAATCTGTTTTGGATTAATAAGGACCCTTGATGTTTTTCAAGAATCTGTATCAATTGAAAAGGATAAATTATTGTACCACAATTGACCATGAAGAACTGAGGTCGACTTCATTAATGGATAGGCTGTTTCAAAGATTGTCTCAGTTCTTTTTTGATCATGGAGCAGTTTGAAAAAATGGTATCATCGTAATTGAAAATCGGGTTGAATTCATTAAATTTCAATGTATGAGTTTTTGTCAAAATATCATGTTCGTTTTTGATTCTCAACATTATGCTTCTGTTGAAATAGTAATTTTTTGTAAAACATAAATGCTCATCATTTTTGCCAGTTAGCGTTATTTGAACAGAATCGATTATATCCGCTTCTTCAAAGCACATTTACTGTTTCCTTGACGTTAAACAGATTTTTCCCATAAGTTTTGGTAATCAATACCCTGAACTGTAATTTGAAAGATATTGAATCTGCATTTTCACTAATGCGTCACCTCTAGAAAATTGGCAAAACTTAGTGACTTTTACTGAGAAAATCAACGTGTTGACCGAAATTTGGCTCTTCATCTGCGTGCATTTTAAGATATCGAAAAAATTCTTCCGCTCATTTAACTGATCATTTACGTATTCGGGTTAAAAATTTTAGGTTTTTGATTCATCAGCGTTTAATGTCAGCTTGTTTTGTCTGAAGCTTTGTGCTAATTTTTCAAAGCAGCCTGTCGTTCAGCATGCTCAGTTTTCATCTGTGTACATGTCATAAATACTGTGTCGTCTGGGTACAGTGTAGATTTTGTGTTTTCCTGGTTTGAATTGATTTCGCTTCAGACAAGCAGTGGACCATGAATAGATCCTTGGGGAAAACCGAAGCGATTAACCTTAGCTTTGAATTTGGTGTTCAGGGCTTTATACTGCTTCCGATGACTCAGATGAGATTTTTTTAATCTGCAAATCGGACCTACCTCGTAGTCCAGAGGACTCGCACTTTTCAACAACAGAGTGATCTGATAGGTCGACTGCTTTTCAAATTTATGTCTGTGTAGTGTGTCATTTTTGTTTGATCGTGAAAATGTGTCTTATGTGTTTGATAAGTGAAACAATTGCATCAACTGTTGCTCGACGTAACAGAAAATCAAACTGATTTATGGCAATTAAGTCAAGTTTATTGAATGATATTTTGCTGTTGTATATAAGTCTTTCCAGGAGCTTTCCTAGCACTGGCAACAAGGCTATTGGTCGAGTTTTTGATGATTTGCCTGATTACCCTCTTTATAGACTTGAAGCAGTTTAGCTGCTCAAGGCAATCTGAAAAATAGCATCACAAAACAATCTTGGAACAATTTTGTTAATACTGGTGTATTAGCCCATTTAACATATTTCAAAAAGTAGTCATTTCTCCGTTGACAGATTCTAATACTTACAAAATTTCCTCTTGGCCAATAGTTATCAGATACATTGAATGTATGTACTGTTCCAGAGTTGGCAATCTTCATAAAACGTGCGTACCATTTTTTCGCCAATACTTAGAAAGAATCCATTAAAACAATCCAAATTCATTCCGGAAGTCTCAACGGTTTTTTTTAGTCTTATCCCTCCTATTTTCGTTTAAATTTGAAAAAAAAATTGTTAGTTCCATCTGTCTTAGCTGATTTG